TGGAGGTATAGACCTTGCAGATTCAAAGAACCATCATGCAGATAGTATATTGCAACGTTGCCAACAGCTTCAGGTATTTAAATTGTATAAAATCTATAAATTAAAATATGATAATAATTATGTTACTTAATATAGATTAAGTTGGACAATTTGTCTGCCTTGGCCGCTAAACGAAAGTCCAAGTTGATGGATAATTCTGCTTACCTACAATTTATGTGGAAAGCAGATGTCGTTGAATCATGGATTGCTGATAAAGAAACTCATGTCCGATCAGAAGAATATGGAAGAGATTTATCCACAGTTCAAACTTTACTAACTAAACAAGAAACATTTGATGCTGGTTAGGATACAACTATAATATTATTGAACTATCTAACCAAAAAAACCAATAGGTAGAAATGATACAAATTGAATTGATTTTATTTAGGCTTACACGCATTTGAACACGAAGGAATACAAAATATTACTTCTCTTAAAGATCAATTGATTGCTGCTAACCACAACCAATCAGAAGCTATATTAAAACGACACGCCGATGTTATTGACAGGTATTAATTTGTTTTTTGACTGTTGTCACTCAATTTATTACTAGGGAAGCTTAAATTTCATGGTAAAATGATCATATTGTATGGAGAGTATAAATATACCTTATTTAAAAAATATGTAAAAATGTATTACTTATTTTATATTTAAATGTATATATAAAAATCATGTGTATTTGTATAATACTGAAATTTATCAAATAAATGAGGCACCTAGAACATAGGGTATATAAATTGCATTTTTGCATAATCTGAGTTAAACAAATAGATTAACTAGAAATTTTCCATTTTATTTTGCTGGTAAGAAATAAGTGAATTATTCATTATGTGTTCTGGTAGCAGAACCCTAAATGAAAATGTCATTAGATATATTATTATATAGATATAGATTATAATATATATAAATTATAGATACATACATTCACATATACTCAGATTAAAGTTAACATTTATACTCAATAAATTGTGTTTTAGAAACCTGAAATTATTTATCCAATTTTTAACTAAATAAATTTATTATTATTACATTCTCTGTAATTTCTGAGTGTTTATAAAATAATAGTATAAAATTGGACACACTAAAATTTATCTTTATATTCTAGATGGCAAAAACTGTTATGTGACTCTGATGGCCGTAAACAACAGTTATTACGTATGCAAAATCAGTTCAGACAAATCGAAGAACTGTACTTGACTTTTGCCAAAAAAGCTTCTGCATTCAACTCTTGGTTTGAAAATGCCGAAGAAGATTTAACAGATCCTGTGCGTTGTAATTCCATTGAAGAAATTAGAGCGCTTCGTGAAGCACATGCACAATTTCAAGTAAGTGAATATATAATATATATAATTATATAAATATTATAATAATTATATATTAGCTCGTGATTTTAGTATTTTATAGTTATTATAATGTACTTTAATATTGTTTAGGCATCGCTGACATCTGCTCAGTTAGATTTTGAAGCTCTAGGTGCTCTTGATCATCAGATTAAAAGTTTCAAGGTTGGCCCTAACCCATACACATGGTTTACCATGGAAGCTTTAGAAGACACATGGCGTAACTTACAGAAAATCATTAAAGAGCGGGATATTGAATTAACTAAAGAAGCTCAAAGACAAGATGAAAATGATACTCTAAGAAAGGAATTTGCTAAACATGCAAACACTTTCCATCAGTGGCTAACTGAAACCCGGTATGAATTGAATTTTAGAAAAATATTTTCTGATTTTTCGACTTCTCACAATGTTCTTATATATCAGGGGTAGGCAACTGGCGGACACTTTTTTATCTGGTTTGTGCTATATTTTCAAGTTACATCATGCAATTTTAAAGTTTTTTTTCTATACTTTATCTTATTCTTATAATAATTGTTATCTGGTATTAAACATTATTAAATGTATACATATATACATATAGCTTTCAACCATAGTTGTTTATATCGAACTATTCAACTATATTCGTTTCTTTGTATCATCTGTGTCATGTTGTCGTGTGTGTTGAATTTATTATTTTTGTGTAGATAAATGTTAATTAAAATTTATATTTTGAATGAATTTTTTTTTTTTCTATGCTCTAACCTGCTAGATTTTAATTTTATAAAAATTGGACCTCTAGTAACATTGGGCTGCCCCTCCCTGATATACATAATAAATTTAATTTTTAATTAATTTATAGAACATCAATGATGGAAGGATCTGGTTCATTAGAACAACAACTGGAAGCCATTAAGGTAGTATTAATTCATTTGTTTTTTTATTCAATTTATTGACTACACTGTTGTAATATAGCGTAAAGCAACTGAAGTACGTTCTCGTCGTTCAGACTTAAAGAAAATTGAAGATCTAGGAGCTATTCTTGAAGAACATCTTATATTGGATAATAGGTACAATATTTGACCAATTTTATAAATTAACATGTTTTTATAATGTATAATTATTGATCAGGTATACGGAACACAGCACTGTAGGCTTAGCCCAGCAATGGGATCAACTGGATCAATTAGGTATGCGAATGCAACACAATTTAGAACAACAAATTCAGGCTAGGAATCAATCAGGTGTCAGCGAAGATGCACTTAAAGAATTCTCAATGATGTTTAAACACTTTGATAAAGACCGTTCTGGACGTTTAGATAAAACTGAATTCAAATCTTGTCTCAGAGCTTTGGGTTATGATTTACCTATGGTAGAAGAAGGACAACCTGATCCTGAATTTGAAGCCATCTTAGGTATTTTGTTTGTATTTTACTTTTTTACAGATGTTTAATTTGTTAATTTTTAGATGTTGTGGACCCTAATCGTGATGGTTATGTATCACTTCAAGAGTATATGGCATTCATGATCAGCAAAGAAACCGAAAATGTACAGAGTTCGGAGGAAATTGAGAATGCATTTAGGGCAATAACAGCTGGTGATAGACCGTATGTTACTAAGGAAGAACTTTACGCTGTAAGTATTATCTATATATATTATCCTTTAAACAAAATCTTTTGGTTCTATTAATATTGGTATGTATTTGTTTATAGAACCTCACCAAGGATATGGCAGATTATTGTGTTGCTCGTATGAAGCCATTTGTGGATACCAAAACCGAGCGGCCAATCACAGGCGCTCTAGATTATATAGAGTTCACAAAAACACTTTTCCAAAATTAAATATATTTATTGCACGCTATACATCAGAGTTTTTTATATATTAGTTTTATTAACGTATACTTAACTATTTAGCTTAAGATTTGTGAGCAATATTTAATTATTCTGCATTTGAAATGTTATATCAAAAAGATATTTTATTTTTTTTTTAAATGTTTCAAATTTTGATTGAAAGTGAATTTTTGTTTTTATTTAATTTTATGTTGTTCACTAAATATTATAATGTATATCAACAAATCTACCTATTACTAACATTTGTTTTTTTTAATTTATTATTTATTACTTAAGAATAGAAAGATATTATATTTATAAAAATTGCTTATGCTTGTGAGTTTTATTAATTCAATTATGATTAATTTGATTTATTTTTCACAATAAAGTCTCACCAAATTATTCTGTTTTTTTCTTTTAGTTTTTAAAATACTAAAAATAAAATGTATGTCTATATGTAAACAAGACAAACAGTATTTAATTTAAATCTATTCATATGCATTTTATTTCCATAGCTGTTCTCTAATAATAAACCAAATTTAAATAATTTTTAATCTATGTTTATAAACAAAATAATTATTTCCAAGTGCTTTACGTATTCATTTGTAAAAATATATATTAAATTTATATTTTTAAAATAGTTGTTAGTGTACAATGTATATAAATACTGATCTAAATTATAATATTAATTATTGAATAATAGGCCCAGGAAATTGATGACCTGAAGAACTTTTAATAATAAAGAATTTTTAATTAATTAAAAATAGAAAGAAATATTTCAAATTAACTGAAAAATAGATACAAAGAAGAAAAAATAACTTAAAATTAGAATAATGCAAAAGTATAACAAAATTATTTTAAAATGTTATAAGTAAAATAACAAAAATTAAAAATTGTTAAGCATATAAACTAATACTATAGGTAGGTCACTGAAGGTAAATTAAATTGGAAATGTAAGTTGTTACATTGATCAATAATGATATGAGTGACAATTTTAAACACTGATCAAAAAAAGTAACCAGATAATAGAATTTTTTTCAAGTAAATGAACTTTGCACAAATACACAATCCAGTGGACGAATTAAGAAAAGTTGTACAAAAAAACAATTAGTGTGTAAAACACAGTCATAAATTATAGCTACTATATATAATAATTAACCAAGAAATCCAATACAATCATGTCTAAAAGTAAAATTAATGTATAATTGAGGCTTCAGGAATCATTTTTTTTAAAAATAACAAGGAAAGATTTTTTCTTCAAGGCACAATTCTACAGATTTTAAAGTATTTTTACCATGTAAAACAAAATTCCACTTTACATATATTACACTGAAAATAATTTTACATTTTTTTTTACCTTAAAAATATATTTTAATTTTTAACCCAAACATAATAACATTTTTATACATAATTATGTATATTTTTATAATTGTTTATACTTTATATTGTGTTGTGTTTATCCTATAAAACTATTATATAAGCGATAAGATTTTATTTATTAAACCAAAAAAATTAAATTATATCGAAATGTATAAGAAAATCATTATTGAAATACAAAAAAGTTTAACATATTTATGTGACATAAAAAATTGTTTCGTGGGCAGCGAGTTGCCAAGGACCAGTCCTGGGTTCTTTATGAATGCTGTACAAAAATTTCCAAGTTTAATGTTCAAGTAAAAAACAAATTATTAACTATAAATATTTTTTTTTTCTAGCCGATCAAAATTTCAGTTTCAATTGTTAATTAACTATTAATTTTTTAATTAAATAAAATATTAAAAATCATATACTACAATACATATACTAAATATATTTTATTTTAATATGAAGTTTATACAATTATTAGTTACAAAATAGAAATATTTAATATTCAATAGGTATTGATATCAGAATTGCTATCATTTACTCATAGGTTTGTCCAAAAAATGTATCACATAATCTGCTAAACTCTTATAGATTTTAACCTAAAAAAAAAAAAAAAAAAATAGTACAAAAATAATACATGTAGATATAAAAAACATTTAATTATTTCTTATTTAAACAATATGTACATTTTGTGTAGATCATTAAAATAATTATTGGCAAATAATAACTTATTACAATTATGAGAATTATTGAATTAATAAAAGTCAACTATTACTATTTACCATTGTGAATATTACGATATATTTTGTAAATATGACTATTTATAAAAATTATCTTTAAGTTATAATTACTATAAAATCTCAATGAATTACTAAAAATGTTTAAATTATGGTTTGATTTAATGAATTAATTTTTACTTAATTTATCTTTCTCCCAACTTAGTAATAAAAGAATAATGAAATTATTAAATTAATATACAATATTTAACTAGCTGCATAATCTGATTTTATCCTAGAGTCTAAAATTAATTTTCATAAATAAATGTTAGTTGTCAATATGTGGGGATATACGTAGAAATATTTGAAATGACTGTATAAATAGAAAATTGAGAACATTTTTAATAATGACAAAATAGTAGAAAATAAAAAAGGCCTATTCATTTATTTATGGAAGAATTAATGATATACATAAATTTTAGTTTTTTTTTTTTTAATTTAGTAAAAATCTGTAAATCAGTTCATTAATATTTTATGAAAATAATTATTGAAAACATTTAGTAAAACCAGTGGCGTAACCAAGATTGGTTTTCGTAGGGGTTTGGTGAATTTGGAAAAAATAATCATTTTCTACAGGTGTTTGGTGGGGATAAGGAACTAAGATTAAGTTAGGTTTATAAGTAAAATATTTAAATTACAAATTAAACTGTTTAACTTCTATTTCATATTGTGATACCACAAAAAAAAGTATTATATAATCGGCTATCGAGAAACCATAGTATCAAGGTTATTAATGTTTTAAAGTTGAATGGAACGTTACAAAATGTTCCATATTGTCATGTTATTATTGTTATCAATTATAATACAAATAATATTCATATTTCATATCAATCAGCCGTTTTACATATTCAAGATAAACCATTTTTTATCTACGTAGAATTTGTAAGAATCTCAGAAAAATTTAGGGGGGGTTACAACCCCTAAACCCCATCAATAGTTGCACTACTCAGTAAAACGAATAGTATTTTGGAAGTTAAATTAATCACCTGTGGTGAATCTGGATGAGTAACAACAATAGGTTGACCTGAATCACAACCATCAATTATTTTCGGATCCATAGGTACAGAAAATAATGTATCTATTTCTGAAAATAATACTTTTCATTAATATGGAACATATTAGGAATAAAATAAATAAATACTTTCTTGCTTTGCTAATTTTTGAACTCTATTTCCAAATATATGATTTTCATGATAACATTTTGTACATTTCATGACACTCATATTTTGTACTATTCCTAGTATGGGAATATTTAATTTTTTAAACATTGTTATACCTCTCCGTGTTACATCAAGCGCTGCTTTTTGACCAGTAGTTACAATTATAACACCTAAAGTACAGGTTATAAAATTGTTAAGTATAAAAAGCTTACCCTGTTATATTACCACTTATTGGTAGATTTTGTGCAAGAGATAAATGTGTATCTCCTGTTCCAGGTGGTGTATCAACAATCATGTAATCTGTATGATCCCAGGAAACTCCTCTTATTAATTTGTCGATAGCGTTCATAACCATCAGCCCTCTCCAAATGGCAGCTGATTGATTAGTTATCAAATTACCCATGGACATGCTATAAGTCATATAAAACCAAAGTAAAAAATAATAAAATTTAGATCATTTGTCTATATAGTTTACCATTTTACTCCATAGTTAATGAGAGGTACCATAAGGTTATCTATAAATTGCATTTTATTAATTTAAATTTGACAATTATAATACAAGCACTGGATACCGTTATTAATCAATGGTGTTTCATGTAAATTCATCATTAACGGTATGGATGGACCAAATACATCTGCATCCAATAACCCAATGTCTTTGTTAGGTGCTACACATTTTAAAGCTGTAGCAAGATTCACTGTCAAATATAAATTAATTTTTCATTATTACATGACTTTCAAAAATAACACATTTAAACTTACCAGCAGTTGTTGATTTCCCAACACCACCTTTACCGGAGGCTACCAATATTATGTGCTTGACCCCTTTTATTGCCTTCTTTTGAGGTAGCTTTTTTCTCATGAGTTCTACTTGATTTTCTGTTAACTGTGACAAACACTTCGCGTGGATACATTGTAAATGACCCTAAAAGGAAAATATGTACTCATAAAGTCACTTTGCTTTGCTTATAATAAATTTAGAAGTTAATAAAATTATCTCACGGAAATCGGAAGGCAGCTTTTACCAGCTGTACGTATTAAAATCGTATTAAACATATTAGAATACTTTGATTTCAATTAAAAAGTGGCCAATGTGTAAGAATTAGGGACTTTGCGATAGTACCGATATCGATAAATTATCGATACTTTTCTTTCGATATAAGTACTTTTTATATCGATACCATGGTTTCGATATTTTACTCATATAGATAAAAAATACTGGTATCGAATGAATAGTATTGAATCATTTACTAACCGCCATATTGGTTCAAAAATCAAAAGTACTCGAATGGTCGAATGGTATCGTACAATAATTATTTTCTAGTAAAATGGTTTGCGCGTGTGGTGGAGGATTTGTTTACATAAATCAGTCATCACACTATAATCTATACTCTATACGATTATATTGTTATTTCCACGGACCAGAAACCACAGTCCACAACAGTGGCGTATCCAAGATTCCTTTAACGGGGGTGTTTTAAAATGTAATAGACTTATGGAAAGTGGGACACTCTGCCCCCTTCCTATATTACATAAATAAATACCATATATTTATATAAATTAGGTATTATACTAATGAAAATAATTATATTAAGACAGTGTAAAATCAACAAGTTGTATACAACGTTTATTCAAATTATACTGTAAGTTTGTAATTTAATGAAATACCATAGAATATGGTCAATGGGGGGTGTTCTAAGGTGTTTAAGATGCAACATTTGTTACCAGGAGACTATCATTAAGGGATTGATATTGTTTTTTACTAATATTGTCATAATTAGCGATATATATAATTTTAAAGGATCAATTTTAATAAATTATTATAAAAATAAATGTTTGATGTTTTTCATTTTTATATTTCATCACCGTTCACAGCACTAACCTCTTCCACTTATATACCACATCTTTACACACCTATATTAAATTAGTTACTTTTTTCTAGCAAAATATTCTTTAGAAATAATTTATATGACAAAACAACGTTTGTCGGGTTAGCTAGTAGGTATATATAATAATTTTATAAATACCTATAAATTATGTATATATTAATATAAGTAGGATGTTTCATGATAATAAATAATAGTTGTGATCACAGACCTATATACGACCGAGCGACCGATCTATAACCATTGATTTTATAATATACAAATAAGCCGAGGTATAGGAATATTTGGAAACCGTATTTTTAAAGTTATTTAATTCCTACAGACTAGCGTTTCCCAAAGTGTGTTCCGTGGGACAATGCTAAGGGTTCCGCCAGATGTATATGATTATTGAGAAACTTATTTTATATTATATTTGGAAAAAAATATTATTTTATATTATTAAAAAAAAATTGTGTTTAAAATTGTTGTGGTAAAAATTATTAAATTGTAATTGAGTAATCATTAACAGTATTAACAGTATGGAATTAAAGATATTAGGGTTCCGTGAAACACATACTATTTTTTGACGGTTCCATGATTGTAAAAGTTTGGGAGCCGCTACTATAGATATCGATAACTAAACGTAGATTTGTGTTATCAATAGCTTATCACACAATGAAATACTCCGTGTAGCGTACTACGTGTACACGGTTTAAGATAGAAAGGTTGCACATCGGGATATACTACGCAATGTTAGACCGCGGTGTACGAGACGAATGGATCTCCTGATCTTGAATTATCTTGTAGTCCACAAGTGGTACACGTAAACATAATTAAACACAGTTATGAAATGCGATATAGTTAAGAAAAAGAGCAGAAAATGTATGAAGTGACAACAAACTGAAGAAATAATGAAATTATTTTGCCAATTATTACATTTTTGCTGGGTTTATACATTCTTTACTCTATGGTTTATACAGAATATTAGAAAAGTATAAAACCAAAAGTAATAAAAAAGATAACATATTTCTCCAAACATCTAAGTTCAAAGTACCATATTTTAATTGTAAGATACAGCAATACTCAATTATGACACCAAAATGAAATTGGTAAATTAAGGTTTACTACAGCTGATAGAGAATAATTGGCAGGTAGCTTATTTTATTTTATATAATACTATACTATCATCTATGGTTCCCATAACTGGTTCCTATTCAAAGGGTATTAAATTATGTCCAAGATTCTGTGGAAGGAACAACATTTAAATGTTTATAGTATGAGTGTTATGGCCAAATAGTTAGTAAAATATATTAATAATCCAATTTTGTATTTTAAATACTTTGAAAGATTATTTTGCAACAAATTTACGAAAAGGTGATTTTTGTATTTGGAAATAAATAAATCTGTGTTGATGGGACCCATTGTTTAAACTTTAAACAGCTAGGTACGCTTTTATAACAAAAATACAAAATATTAAACCTAATTATAACATTTATATTAAATTTTCGTAAAAAATTGTGTGTTTTTAAATTTTAAATTACGATATTGTGTTTTTTTCGAATTGTTTATTATTAAATTTATTTAACTATTTTAATTTAAATTTAGCAATATATAAAATAATTATAATAAAAATGATGTTATTGTTTTATAAATGTTATCACATTTTGATAGCTGCAAAAAAAAGGGGCTAAATGTAGGAATATTATATACGGACACAAAAAATTGTTTCCTGCGAAGATCCATTCGTGTGTATGAGAGTTCTTATCTAACATACGAAAAAGTGAACTACCACTAACACTCACGGCGGTTGTTAATTGGAGTTACAATATTATAATATGCCAATATTCCGCCAAAATATTAAATTATTGAATATCAATTATAAATATAATTGAGTTAATAAATAAATTATAATCATGATTCACTGCTCTCATGGTCTATATATATATATATGATTATTTTATGTCGAAATCTAATCACTATTCACTGTAGTATGTGTTTGGTTATTGGTTTTGTGAATTTTCTATTACGTTTATTGTCTTTGGTCATTATGTCTAATTATTGTGCAATTCGTGAGTCACATAATGTGTCTAAAACCCTTTTTGGCGTTCCTAAAGAAGACGAATTAAAAAACTTTATTTATTTGAGTTACAAAATTAATTCCACAAGTTTAACGCTTATTTTAAGATACATCTACAAAATCCTCATATACAATGGAAAATGTATGAAAATGTATTTAACTATGATTCCCAACAATTAATTAAAGTCTGTCCTAAAATTAATAAAAATCATTTAGAACTTAATAATTTGGCAAAAATTAAAGTTAAATATGCCAGTCAGGTAGTTGAATTTTGAAAATATATGTATTCTTCTTTTATTAAATTGATTGTTATAGATTTTCAGTAAATCAATGGCAGTTGGAAATGAGTTTTATAAGAAAAAACTTTATCAAGGGTTTGAAAATTGTGAAGAAACGATAAAATTTACCCTTTTTATGAACAACTTATTTGATACCCATAATAGGAAATTTCCGGCTAAAGGGATTAAGGAAAAAAGAACATAGAAAATTAAAAAATGTATAAAAAAACATATATATATTTTAAGAAAGGTTTACATACAATTAAATATTAAGTTACATATTTATAAACATACATGATATATTACATAGATTTATAACATGGATATTAAGAAGAATTGCGAGAACAGAAAAGCATTACTTCTCTAATTACATTGGTTACTAAAATAATACAAGTCAAAGTTTTAATCCGAAAACATATCCATGATTTAATGTTATACATAATTATATGTTACCATAATTTAAAATTTGGACCACTTTTGTAGAAAATAAATATAAATAAAATAAAAAGTAAAAGTAATCAAAGTAAAATAAAATAAATAAAAATTAAATGTAATCAAAATTTTTGTTGAAAACAGTATAACCTATTAGTATTTTTCCCGCTTTGAAAATCGGTGGACATTGTATAACTTTTATCAATATAAATTATATAATTGGAATAAGTAATTTTCGATTTAGTCAGTTGGTACTGCTTTTTCAAATTTCAGACCTTATCGTTTCTTAGGTCCTTATAATTTATCGGAGAACTGCCAAACACTCCACAAAATAATGACTCGTTGTGCAACCATTCTATCTAAAGCGTACGTGTTCCACACACAGGCTCGTATTTAAAAATTAGCGGACCCGGGCATATAATTTATGCCCCCCCCCCCCAAAAAAATAAATAATAATAATATAACATTTATTATTTCGTCTATAATCGAGGTTCTTTAATATTAAAATATGACATGAATGAAAATCGTTAAAAAAAAAAATATTAATTATTAATGTTTTACTATCTTTAATGTTATTATTTATTGGGGTAAATTGAAACGTTTCATGTTCTTTGGTTATCATCATGACATCATGATTCATTACTACTCCTTACATGTTTTGTTCCGAAAAATATATTTTATTTATAGTCTATCGTCCATAAATATTAAATATTTAAATATATAGGTAATCATAATTTTTTAAATATTATGAAATCGGTAAATTTATACAGTGGCCCCACCATTTCAAAAGTTGAAATGACACCTCTGAATTACACCCTCTCATACATAGTCAATCCTAATGCTGTGGAACATATATTTTAATAAACACTCTCTGTCTTTTCGATATTATGCTCATTTATTGATTTGTTAAAATGTGTTTATGTATTGATTCAATTACACCTATTCTTTTATGTCCGTCAAGTTGGAACCGGCACATTATGCTAGAGTTATGTAAATGGTATCAAAAATTTTCTAGGAATTTGCTAGATTTTGCTAGGGCATTTTTGGAATTTGCTAGGGCCCCTGTCGTCCAAGGGGGAGGTTCCAAATTTGGCATCAGCACCGGCACTATATTCGATTTTTAAAAAAAAATATATCAAATCAATCCAGCTGAATTTGCTCGATTTTGCTAGGGCATTTTTGGATTTTGCTAGGGCCCCTAAACTTTGATAATCCGCAAACAAATATGCCGGTTCTATCTTTGTGGGCGCACCGGCACTATGTTCGATTTAAAAAAAAATTATGCTTACTATTATGCTACTTTGCTAATCAATAAATGTGGTAAAATGGTCATACAAATTCATACAAATTACGTACTAATTGTAAACATGAAAAAAATCACAGATTTCTAGGTGGGATGGACGTGGCAAATTACTATATTAGATAGTTGTATAGATACTATTGGTATTATAGGTAAACTGGATTTCCGCGAATCAACCAACAGTAAACAGCCGCCATGTGTTGCCCGTTAATAATATAAATTATAATGCTATTGAGTGTTTGTTTACCCATGAGATTATATTACTTTAATTATGTATATTTTTATAGTTTTCATAACATGCTACACAACTTTATTAATCGGACTCGCACATTTCGCCGCCGAACTATTCGCCGAAGCTTATACTTATTTATACCCTAAGTCATAGGCGGAAATTCTCCATAATTTTAGAGGGGGCTGATATTTAAAAATACTTTATTTTATATCAAAGCTAAAAAAAAAAAATTATATTACCCTATAAATATCATGCAAAACCTAAGCGTGATTTATTTTAGATAGATATACTACTATACTATGCATATACTGATATACATATACTTGAATTTTAACAATGAAAACTCTTTATAATGAAACTAAAAAATTTTTATTTTAAAATAATGTATCTATTTTTTTTTGCAAATAAATTTAATATGGCTTCTTTATCAATTTTTATAGAAATATCTTTCTCAATACTAATTATAGCTAAATTTTTTAATCTATTCTGTACCATGGATGACCTCAGCCATGTTTTAATCCTTCTCATTGCAGAAAAACTACGTTCACATGTTGACGAACTTATAGGAAGAGTAAGTGCAACTTGTATAAGCTTAGATATGTTAGGGTATATATTTTTGGAAAGTACTGAAGTCAAAGCTTCTAAATTAATACCGCTTTTGCCATTTGATAAGTGTAAGTAGTTCTTCACAACATGCATTTCTGATTGAACACTTATACTTTTTACATCCAATAAATCCTAGAAAAAAAAAACAATTATCTTTAATTAGAAATAGAATAAGAATAATTTACAATAAATAAAATTTTGATTCTACATGTCATTTCATTTATTAATTCAATAATATTACATTTTGATAGCAAGTTTTTATAATGAAATTACCTTATAATGATTAATAAATAGTTCACTCTTTTTAAAATCTAATTTTATAAAATTGTCTACAGCTTCAGCCATTTGAAGACTTTCAGTTGAAAACCTTTTCTTCAAATTTACAACTATACAATCTAATATTTTAAAATAGCCATTTACACAATTTGTTTCAGTACTATTAAATGATTCTGCGGCAGTAGTAGTTGTTAGAATGAAATCTTCAAAAACATTGGGTTCACGTCTCATTCGCTTAGATGCTAATAATAAACATATTAAATAAGCTTAAAAATAATATTAATTTAAATAAATAAATATTTAAACAAATATTTTTTATTAGGTACACAAACACAATACTAACCTTGAGTTTGAAAAGGTAGGATCAGTTAAACATCATTTTCATCACAAAAAGTTTTTATGTCAAACCACAAGTCACTAAAGCCAATGGTAGATCTAGCATTCTTAAAACTTAGTATTATGCTGTTTATTAAATTACCTGCATTACCCAATGTAGTAGTTTTATCTTGAAACATGTTGCTAAGTATATTTATGGAAGATAATACATGTTGCAAAATTAATAGAAAAATAACAAATGATCCTTTTTGCATTATTGAAAGTATACCTATAAAAAATATTCAAAACATATTAAATTAATCCAGTGCTTATAATTAGACAATAGTATTAATATTTAATTAAAAATGATATGAGTATACCTATAGCTTTATTTACATTTCGGTCCAGTTGGTTATCTATTTCTTCTTACAAAACTGCAATAATTGCTTAATAATTGTATACAACTGACTCACAGTTTTT